ACACAGTGCCATCTGCAACATGGGAAATAAAACCCTAAGTACGAGAAGGTACTCAGCTAGACTTACCCGTCATAAACCAGAAATAAAATGACTCCAAGGATTATGCAAGGCTATATAAGTGGAGGTAGCTTGACAACATTTTGCATAAAGGCAATTGACTCATTGTATAATTACGATTCCTTTATTAAGTTAATTATAACTATCCATTTCTAGATTAGCAACTATCCTGTGCCAATCATGTGGTATATCCATTTAAAAGCATACAATAGTAATCATAGCAGGTATTGTAATTCCATATTCATCCGAACCATCATGTTCCATAACACAGTTACTACGATGTTGGGACTAGCCAAGTTTCTCACTATCCAAGAGAGACGGCGATTCGAATTGATTTCAACCAGCTGGGAATTTATTCCTAACACAAACCCAGGTCTACCAACCACGATAGCCTTAGGTCACCTTTGGTACAACTCAGGTACACATTTCGCGGGTCCGTACCACGCCGCACAATCTGGAACACCAGATGCCAGGATGTTCAGGCCTAGCCTGCCCTTGGGCTCAGTCTGATCGTTCCCTGGAAGGAGCGCACAACAGAACGGGTCCCGGCCTGAGTTGAATTACTCGACTTCGTGGTCGGAACGAGTTATCCGGCCAGCTAAGTGAGAGGCATGCATTCAATCTTGTCAGAAGCGCCAACAACGGTATGGTCCTTAATCGACACAGACGGGGATAGATCCACACCCAAGACCTCCATGTCTTGTTGCTTCTCTATCGACATCCTGCCCGGTCTCCATTTACATTGACCATGGTTCTTTTCCACGATAGCAATCATAACCAACCATGCTCCGGTATCCACCTATATCTCGCAGGTGACAGGAAATCACCCGACTTCTACCAGTCTAAGCATGGCTAAGCATATATTCGATCCTGGACCTATACCGGTTAAAGGTGTAATAGCTGGACAAGGAATGTATATGCATCAAGTGGTTCCTTTCAACTCTTATAACCTAATGCATCAATCATAAGTACTTAAGTAATCATTTGTAAAATACTAGGAGACTTAGAATGCTCCGGGGCTTGCCTCGCAGAAAGGAAGTAGGGCGGTGATCTGGGCACTCCAGAAGCTCTTCAGGATTCTGCTCCTCGCCTTCGGGAGCTGCGGCTTGAGGATTCTCCTGCTGGTCCCCTTCCTCTACTTCTTCAAATTCCAGCAACGTTATCTCTTCCTCTGATCCTAGATGCATGAATATGGCATAAGTATTATGAATGCATATATGTTAACAAGTGCATCATGTTTATTGAGTAGGTGCATATCTCTTCTCGATTATTTAATTACTACTTCCACAATGCATCTACTATATCACAAAACAACAGCTACTTGTTTTACTCATAACAGGAGTTCTACTAATCCAAATGCAGTGATCCTGGACTTTCTGAAAAGCTTATCAAATTATCTACAACTTTGTTATTAACCATTTTTACAGAAAACATCATCCCTATCATGCAACTTATCCAACTACAGAATCTGTCCGGAATCCTTTTAAATTTGCATTTGAACGCAACGATACTTCTACTTCATGTAATCACTCATAATTTAACAACATAAAGTCTACCAACAGCTTAAGCATACCAAATACATTTAAGATAATATAATGGTGAAGCCCTAAACTATTTATTTAAATGCCTTTATTATTTAATTTAGATATTTAGGTTAAATAATAAACATATACCAAATATGCATCATAAATTCTCAGAAAATTACAGTGGCTTACTAGTGCTACCAATAGACTACTGTAAAAATTTCATGCCATTTTGCCAAGTAGAACATCCTATACAAAAATGACAAGGAAGCAAGGCTTGAAATAGCATAAATAGAAAACCCTATTGAAAAGTTTCAAGCAACAGATTTCCTATTTTTCTTAGCATCCATATACTAATAGGATAACCTCCAACAAATTGCATGAATATTGGATTCCTAAATAATTTATAAAAAATCACACAAGGATCTCCTAATTATAAAATAAAAATCTATAACTACAAATCTACACATGCACTGATCCTCAAATTTTTACCAGAGTTCATACATGACAAGAATAGCTTACCACAAAAATTTCATAATTTTTGGAGCATAGGAACTCTAGATATAAAATAAACAAGTTTGCATGCATTCAAAAACACATTGCAAATCTCTATTTAAATTTCCCAAAATTTCTACTGTAAATGTTAAGAACATATTTTTCCTAAATACTACACTTCCTAAGGAACACTAACAAATTTATTTCACAATTTTTGAAGCTACCAAACTGAAGATATAAAAATCACAAAAGAATTAAAAAACTGGAATCAAATGAACTATCTTTCAACTACAGAGTCGCTGACCGGTGGGACCCGCTGGTCAGGGGACCCCACATGTCATCGAGACGAAAACAGGGCCGGCGGCGCTACTCTACTGGCGCGGCCAGAACTCAACGACGATGAGTTCGCCGGCGGTGACATCTTCACCAGATGTTCTACTCGACTTTGCGCACACAACCATCTACTTGGTTGGACTGCTCATCGGTGCTAGCAACGGCGGCGGCGCTCATGGCGGAGCGGTGGCGCTGGACGACGGCGAGGCGCCGGTGGAGACTACGGCAACTCGATCGAATGCTACACCGAGCATCACCGAGCTATGGCGGACCTAGCTAGCGCCCTATCGTGGCTTGGGGTGGTCGGTGGCGATGTGGCTACGGTGACGGGGCTAGCGGCGGAGCTCCGGCGAGCTCGTGCGCGTTGCTGTGGCTTACCAAGCACCGGCAGCGGGCATTGGTGGAGGCGGTGAGCTGCTGGGGTGACGGTGGTGCCGCTGTGGTGACGAATGGGCGGCTCAGCGAGGCTTGGCGCGGCTATGGCGACGGCGGAGGCGAGGAGGTGCTCGGCGGCTACGGTGGTGCTTTGGCCAGCGAAGGAGGAGCCGGGAAAAGAAAATGGAGCGCGGGATGGAGCGGGCGAGCGCAGGCGACTTAAACGCGCTCTCTGGCCAGGCTCTGCCGCGCTGGGCAGGGCGCCGGCGACGCGCGGCCAACCTCGCGTCCACGCGGCGGCCAAGGTCTGAACCGGTCAGCCACTGAAGCTCTCCAATCAGTTCATTCAGTTAAGCAAAGCCGAGCCTGACGACGAGTTTTTCGTTCGAATTTTCTCTCGATGCAAATCAAACCAGTGAATGATCCCAAAACAAAATTTGTAGCCCTAAGTGCCCTCTACAATTCTTGTTCAAAGACCATGCTCTAATTCTCAACCAATAACGAGTAATGTCATCACCAAGTTGGGTTTGTCAGGCTGTCAGTCGAACAAAGACTTAGAAAATTTCTTAAGTGTTGAAATGTTGATTTTGCTGATTTTTATGATCTCAATTCAAGCATGTTAGGAGCTAAATCAGTCAATGACCCAAAAATAAAAGTTGTTCCTTATGTCAAATACTACAACTTTGCTTTAGTGATCTCCTCCATGCAAGGTCTCTAACTCCTAGTTCAAACTTGGTCAAACATGTCACTTTTAAATGATGATACACTTCAAATCATGGCTTAATGACCTAATTACCCCTAACCATGAATATCAAAGTTGTTCATAATGATACTCTAAACATGTTTAAGCCATTTGCAAGGTCATTCAATCATTTCATGTAGTAGTCACTCATAGGGCTAGCTAGTGTAATCACATGAAGCTTAAGTGTTGTTCATGAAATGTGACCATTAACAAAGTCCTACTTGCTTAACCTAGGTGTTGCTATATGTTTGTGTGACTCACATCCACCAAGTACATGTGTCCACTCATGATCATATGCATAGATACATGGAGACATGAAATAACGAGAAAAATTGCATATGTTTAAGAAACATGCGATAACAAGCAAACGTTGCAGATGTTTCAATCCAATGTTTCAGTTGTAAATGCTTGTTTATGAATGCTTGATGATCATGCTCATGTTATGCAAGTCAAGTTATGCAAGGCTAACACCCGAAGTGTTACAGATATCATCGTAATCATCACCATATAATAAGTGATCACCAAGGATTATATTTTCATGCACACTTCGATTGAAACTATTTTTTCTTGGTCATAAGTTAACATTAAGAATGCAAGTTATGGTACGTCTATATCGTTAAATCAGCCCAAAACTCATTTGATTTGAACTGATCCATAGTTCAAAACAAAATTTGAAGCAGAAAAGATTGATGTTCGCCTCTCTGTAGCAACATCTCATGGCCACTTTTGTTTTTATGAAATAAGAGGGGCTGTCCCCTACTCTTGACAGTAGCAGGACTAAAAATTATGGCGGATTTTCGTCTACTCGAAGGGTTTATGTATGAGTCGGGTAGGCCATTCGGATACCAAATACAGATACAGACAACGTTAAGAATATAGAACGACTCATATATCTTTGTGCTCTAGGGGTAGAAGACCTTGTAATAAGAACTGAGTGTGGTTGAACCTTGTAATTAGTGTGGTCTGTTTTGTTTAGTTAGGAACAAAACTTGATGCTAGTTTTACACTATGTATGTAATAAAAAAACTAAGGGTAGAAGAGCTTGGAGTAGAGGAGCTCGTTCCACGTGTCCTGGAGGCCCGGGATGCACCAGTGGACGCAGTCGGCGTACGTCTTGGGATCCGCCAGCTGCGCCGCCGTGGGTTGGCTCTACTGCTTCTTGTAGATGGAGGTGTGCGCGTCCTTGCGGTACATGGACAGCTGCGTGATGTTGAGGAACGTGAGCGGCACGTCGCCGCCGTCGCCGTCCAGGATCTCCCGGATCACCCGCATCACGCTCCGGCGGCTGTCCGAGCCCCAGTACCCGGGGTCCTCGATCATCGTCGTCTCGTTGTAGCAGTTGCGGCCCGGCGCGTCGCCCTAGTCCTGGCTCCTGTGCGATGCACACATGTACACACAAGCAACTCCACACGTGAGCACGAACCTGACGTACGATATGATGTATATATGCAACCTGCAGCCATGCATGTATGTAGTTACTTCTGGTGCGTGGGCGACATGCTGGTGAAGAAGACCCTGGTGGTGTTGAAGTCCATGTTGTCCCTGACCCACTGCAGCATGTCCCGGAACGCCATGCCGTACGCCTCCTCCGTCGACACCCACTCCCACGCCGTCTCCTTGCCGGCGTCCTCCCACGGTCCGTTCCTTTTGTTTTAATTTGCCGATCGAATCGCACAAAATATAAATATTGAGAATAATAATCCACTGCAAATGTACTAACGTGCGTGCGTATACGTACAAGATCCTGAAGCGCAGGCCGGTGCACCACCACAGGTAGGTGTTGAAGACGATGACGTCGACGCCCTCCCAATGCCGGCTGTGGTAGCCGATGGAGCCGCGCCGCACCATGCGCTCGGAGATCCGGTGCACGGCGGCGTTGTCGGAGTTGGACTCCAGCAGGAACGGCGCCCAGTAGAACTCTACCGTCGCTTTGTACTCCCTGGCGGTGAACACGGTGTGCTGCTGGTCCGCCGACATCTTGAACGACTTGCTGGCGCCGGCGGCGTCGTCGGGGATGGCGGACTGCAGCAGGCACACCATGGAGGCGAACTGGCCCCGCCCCAGCGAGTCGCCCACGTACAGCATCCGCTTGTCGCGCAGCGCCTCCGGCATCCGGACGGCGTCGAACGCCGGCAGCGTGCAGTCGTGTGGCTGCCACCGCCACCGCTGGTACGCCGTGTCCGGCCGCCCCCGCGCCTGGCTGGTCAGCTGCGGATGGATGTAGGGGCAGGCCTCCTCCCGGTACAGCGGGTGCTCGGCGTCGTCACCAGCTCCCCGAGAGCACGTCGCACTCCTCGTCCTCGTCATCGTCGTTCAGCGCGAACGCCAGCCTCCCCTTCCACTTCCTCTTCGTCGTCGTCGTATTCTCGGCAACCTCTGATGACCATGTGATCTCGGATTGTTACGAACGAGAACGCCTTTAATTTAACCAGTGTGATTTGCTGACTTTACCGGAGGGTGGCACTGTCGATTGCTCGTTCTGAATAATGTTGTTGCTGTAGGTGTTGGCGATGAGGCGTGATGCACCCTCGGCATGCCGAGCGAGGAGTTCCTTGAGGTCCTCGCCGTAGAGGAATGAGAAGCAAAGTAGGCAGAGTGCCAATGCCAATAGCAATGGCGAAGAGCGCACCTTCTTTGCAATTGAAGAGGAGGTGGATGAAGAGCTGAGTGTTGCCTTCATCTCTGATCAAGTGATCTCTTTGGTTGCAAGCTTGAGTAGGCAAAGATTCTCGTAGGATTATATAAAGGCTTGATTAGTTGCCAACATAGTGGTCTTACAGGTTGTGTTGTCGTTGTCTGAAGAGAGTGATGTGAAATTTGGAGCGGCTCCAATAAACAAACGGTGTGTGCAGGACGGCTTCGCTTTGCAGGTGTGTTGAGTTGGATTCTGATAATTGTTTGGAACTTGGAACTGTCAAATTCTGGCAACTGGCAGCTTAGGAACATCTGAGAGGTTCTAAATTCCTTCAATTCACCATATAAAAAACCATTTGGATAAGGAAATGGGATTTTTGTAGACATGGCCACATGTGGGCATCAACTCGAATATGTTGGCCTGTTTTATCAGTGATCCAGCTGAATCTGTACCTACGTACTAGCTTCCATGCATGTCCGAATAAAATGTCTGATGAATGAATGGTAGGATCAGTACGTAGTTCATTCAAATCTAACAACCAATCCAGGTATTCTATTCTCAAGGCTACTCATTTCTTATCAGGTAATTGCTCTGTGGAAAACCGAATGAAGTAATTTTCAAACATCTTCGAGCTTCAATGCTTCATTCACGTATAAGAGTAATAGTGAATTCTGTATTGATGCATCCAAATGCCAGAAAAAGAAACATATAAACAATCAAGAGCGGTACGCCTCATACAGAGCCGCCACCGCCGCCGCCGCCTAGGTAGAGCCGTCGTCACCGCTCCTTGCTTCGCCGCTGCCACATCTAGGCCTCTCTCCTTCTTCATCTCTGGTACGTCTATCGGGGACAAGAAGGAGAGGTGACACACCCTTTTTCCCACAGTTTTTTTTATCTAGTTGATTAGGGTTGAGTCCAATAAATCTTCCAGCGAAATAAGATGATTTTTGGTTGGGATCGTGTGTCCTGCGATGACTTCGGTGATTGCCATGACGAGATTGCCATTGCAGGCGTGAGGCAGCCAATTTGTGGCCTTTATATGCAAGGAGAGGGGTGCTTCTGGGAGCCCCTACGAGGATAACGACTCTGGGTCATCGATCTCATCGTCGATGGTCGCGGAGAGGAATTCAAGGTCTCTAGGTGATGATTCTGCAGCCTATGCCATATCCGACGATGCAATTGTCGATATTCTTTCAGTGATTTAGATGTGTTTTGGACTGGTTCCGAAGCGTTGAATCTTACGGCATGTCCAATGTTTTGGGGTTGGTCATTGGATTCGGCATAATGACTATATTTTAGCTCCGGCGTTCAAGGAAGACGATGGAAGAATCTGAATAGAATATTATATATTATATATTTTTTATTTTAGATTTTTTCATGTGTAATCTGGGATATACTGTGCCAAGATTTAATATAAGTGTCCCTTCCCTTTCGCAAAAAAAAAAACAATGAAGAGTATAAAAGCCCATTTATCTGCACTAACCCATATTACCATTCTACTAGCTCATACCAAAATGCTTGTTGAACAAGTGTAGTTGATGATTATTAGAATGATGGGAACATTAATAAAAATATTATTTTTCTTGGATTCCAAGCTAAGGGAGCTGGAAACAGCTGCAACCATCACATAATTCCGTTCTCAAGTGACATTGTAACAGACCATCAGATTCAGATGCGGGCCATGCCAGAATGGTTGTTAATTATGCGATTTTGGTTGAAGCCAAGGCATCGTGGTAATTGCTGTCTGTAATTTCCTGATCATTAGCTTCAAGAATCAAGATACTTCTTTCCCCCCTTTAACACTTGAAGGATACACAAGTTAATTAGGGGAGGACCTTCGTGGCTTTGAGGGACTGATTGTCCGCTGACGTGAGTTATATAGGTTGCATTGTATGTTCAAGGAAGGCTGAACACACCTAACCTCATTGTATAATGGAGAACAATATGATCACAAATGGGGATCGTGTAGTGAAGACCCACTTCTGGGGTCTAGAAGAGCAAAATGTGTACAATTATCTAAATTCTCCATTATAAGGACTCATTTTGGTGTGCTGCAGGGTGCATGCAACCACATAGGCTAACACAAAAATACTTTGAAAATTTACCCAAGGCAGGGATCCATGCATGTCTACTACAGTCCCGACCAACATGGACTAATTATGATAGATAACGGGAACTTATATTAGCAAATAAGCACAAAAATGAGTCTATCAAGATTCAAATAATTTAAAGCTAGGCACCACAAGATACAACATGATTTTAGAAAAAAATGAAAAGAATTTTTCTATGAATTTTTATGATTAAACCAGATTTTAGGATTTTTAATTGCATTATTTTTCCATGTAAAAGTGTTTGGATAAATTTTTGGAAGTTTATGTGTGATGTTAATTAGGGGAGGACCTTCGTGGCTTTGAGGGACTATAAACTTTTGTTTAAACCTCTTATGCTTATGATCAAAGGTCACTGAAGAAAATTACACAAACTATAAACTCCTATAATTAGCTGATGACATGTTAAGGGGATAATTAAATCATTTTTTGTTAAAACACTTTGAGTTTTGTCAAAATAACAAGTCTTGTTTAAACTATGCATTTTGGCATAGCACAAACTTTTGATGTCAAACTGTTGCCTAAAAGAATTATTTATTGGTCCAAAACTGAATAAAATATTGAAAACTCTAAAGGACTTGGTTTTTCTCTGTGTTCAAAGCTGCTGACAATGTAGTTTTGGCATCCTCTATTCTCTAGTTTTCGACCCAAACATCAATATGTACCTTAAGCTTTGTAGAGGAGCCCTAAGGTGATGTACTCTTAGTTTGTCATGGTTTTGTGGCCTAAGCCCTGGCTCAAACAGACCCAAACTTGTTTCTAGTCCTTGCTCTGAACTCAAAGGCCGACTGACACTCCCACCTTGGGGATTGTTTATCTGCTAAACTAGACACTATCTACTTGATCCTCTAGAACAAAAATTGTAGCATGTCCTGTCACGACCAAAAGAGGTTACAGGATCTCGGGTGATCTCTATGCAAAATCTATCAAATGAGCACGTCCAAAATCGGTTGCACGTGCTAAATTTCGCAAATCCTTGCCCTGACCACGGTTATGGTGCCTGAGCTTGCCCCGCACACAAGCATGCCATGCGGTGCTGTCACCTGACACCGCCTCATGACCCATAGGTTTGCCTACGCCTCTGCCATGCTCGACTGCCTCGACTCTAACCTGTCCCACACTACTACACTCAGACCTTTCATAGCCACATCATAACCCACATCATAGTCCACTTTTGGTCTCAGCATGAAGCTATCAGCAGTGATGGTCATAGCCTTCACCGTCGGCTACACAACTAGCTACAACTACCACAAGCTTTACCCAAAGTAAATACACAAAGTAATGCAAGAGAGTGGAAGAGGAGATATACTGCCGTGACAAGTGATCAATCAATGAATACCATATATAGAATACCAAGGAGACAAATAATGACAATGCTTTTTCCTCTGAGGTTCACTTGCTTACCAGCAAGCTAGTCCCCGTTGTGGTGATTCAATCACTTAGAGGTTCACGCGCTAATAGGCATCACACGCCTAACCCGCAACCGGGCGCCGCACAACCAACACAAGATGAGGATCCACAAGCCATGTGCAATCCACTAGAGTTGCATTTGGCGCTCTGCCGGGGAAGGCATAAGAAACCCTCACAATCACAACGATCGGAGCTGGAGATGATCACCTTCCTTCGCTCGACGATCCACCAATCACTGGGCTATCTAGGTGTCGGCAAATACCAAGAGAAACAAGATCTCCACCAGCCCAAATCACCCAACTAGTGCCACAAGATGCTAGATCACTAAGCAATGCACTAGAGGCTCTCCAATCTCACTCAAGATGATGAGATCAAGTGTAGATGTTAGTGGAGTGTGTTAGCTTGCTCACAATATAAATCTCGGCACTTTGGGGTTCTAAGAGAGTGGCCATGGCTGGCCAAGGGGGCTATTTATAAGTCCCACCTCGAAATAGAGCCATTACCCCTTGGAGCTAGTTTCTGCGAGACCACCGGACACTGGACAGGCGGCGGTGGCACCGCCCTAGGGAGGGCAGTGACCAAACCACCCAAGCCCCCCTCTCTAGAAAAATAGGGCGGTGGCACCGGACATAGGGTCGTGGTGCCCTGTCCGGTGACCATCCCTGGTTCCCTCACTCACTGGATAAAAATGGTGGTGCACCGCCCTACTAGTGGCGGTGACCAAGCAGTGCACCGCCCTCGCCGAGGCGGTGAACACCGGACACGGTAGTGACCGCACACACGCAGCTTCAAGGGACACTGTCAGGTGGGCACTGTCCTAGGGGTGGCGGTGCCACTGGACAGAGGGTGGCGGTGCCCCAAGGCACCACTTCATGCTCAGTTTCGTCTCCTTTTCTTCACCTTTGTCACCACCTTTGCAAATGTGCTAACACTCTAAGTGTTTCACCATCATGTGCAAGTGTGTTAGCATTTTCACAATCATTTTTCAAAGGTTAATCACTTCTCACCGATTGTCCACTAGGCCTAAAATGCATATGCAAGTTTTCCAACACCTAGTGGCACTAGATGATCGAGTTGTCCAATAAGAGCTCCCCTCTTAATAGTACGACCATCTATCCTAAATGTGATCAGACTCTCTATAGTGTCTCGATCAC